CACAGTAATATGCACACACTTAGGTAGCAATCCTGCACACACACAGTTGGCATAAAGTAAGGCAGTATAAGTTCAGCCAGGCCCCCATCTCATCAGTCAGACTCTGAACCCAAGCCAGTCCCTCTCCTTGCCTCTTTTCCCAGCACCCCCACCCCTCTTGCCTCAGGCCTCCAAAAAAGAGACTTTGGGGCTTGGGATCCCTTCACTCTCTGGTTCATCCCCATCCCAACCAGGGCAAATCCAGACGCCTTCCCTGGGGAGTCTCTCCTCGCCTTGGCAAAAGGCGGACAGCAGCGCCTGGCAAACCGGGTGGCAAGCTGGACACTGGCCTGATTCACTGCAACGCAGTTTGAGGGAGAATGGAGACAAGCCGCCTCATCATACAACCGTTCATCTGGCAAAGAAAATCCACTTCTTTATTTTATATCTATTAAAATTTTATATTGAATTCTCGGTTTCTTCCCTTGCCAGACAAACCTAGAAATATATTTTTGCCATTCTTTGAAGCATCTTGCTCTGCCTACTATTGGAGGGGTTTGAAATAAAAATAGCAGGTTAGGCAAAATATTCATTTTTATAACCAAAATTCTTTCGATTAGAGAGAGTTTCAGTCTTCCCCATAACAAGGTTTTTTCTTATATCTTTCCGTGTCTTAACATAATTATCCTGAAATATATTGGAGTTTTTCACTGTTAACCATATTTCCAGATACTTCACCATTTTCTCTGTTGTCAGCCCACTGGCCATCTGCCAATCTTTTTTTGCCCGTGTATCCATATTTTTCAGTAAAACCTTAGTTTTAGTTGTTTTAAGACCTGCAGCATCTCCATATTTCCTTATTTCCTCCAATAACTTAGGTACACTTGTCAATGCTTCTTTTACAGAAAACACCACATCACCTGCAAAGGCTTTTATCTTATAATTCCGTTGGCCCACCCATATCCCCTTGCTGTCAGAATTATTTCTTATCCTCTGTGCCAACACCTCTAGGGCTGATATAGATTGAAGCAGTGATAGGGGGCATCCTTGCCTTGTCCCCTTCTATATCTTACATTTTTCCTGTAATGGCATTATTTACAATCAGGTTTGCAGTTTTATCTGTATAAATTGCCTTAATTCCTTTTATGAATATGACTCCTAATTCCATTTTTTTCTAATAACTTAATCACAAATGACCAAAAACAAAAATAAATTCAATAGGGACTAATCTAAGGTTCTGCACTTTGGCAGGAAGAACCAGCTGCACCAATATAAGATGAGGGATACCTGGTTTGCTAGTAGTACATGGGAAAAGGATCTAGGGGTCTTAGTGGACCACAAGCTTAACATGAGTCAACCTGAGAGTGATGCTAATCCTAACTCCCGCCCCAACACTACACTTACCCCTAACTACTCCTCTATGCACAAAATAAATATATACAAAATATTACAAAATGAAAATTAAAATATACAAAATATATTACAAAATAAAAAGTAAAATAAAAAATATGAAAACAAAGTACAGAAAATAATATTAAAGAATAAGTGTTAAAATAAAAAGTAAAATAAAAAATAAAATGAAAACAAATAAAATCAAATAAAAGTAATAAATCAAATGAACAATCAAATGAAGACATCTCCTTATTGTTTCCAACTACCACCACCACCTCTCTCTACTACTCAACTCACCTCACTACTAACCCACAATGACTGCCTGCAAGTCAGTGGGTTTTAAGGGAAGAGCAAGAGATGTCACAAAGGAGGGCAGGTTCTTGTCACCATGGCAACCCCTCCACCTGGACCTGGCCCCTCCTGAGAGTGATGCTTCTCTGTCAGAACTTGGAGGCACCTTCTGTTCCGCCTGCAGCTGGGCTGCATCTTCTCTCCGCAGATTCATGTCAGCATTTCACATCCTTCTTCCTGCAGCCTCATTTCCAAAGGGAGACCATCCCCATATCTTTCAAGGCAGGCTAGGGGTCTCCATAGCTCAGGATTGGACCATCTGCTTTGCATACAGGTCTTCTGTCCTGGGCGGCATCTCCGGGGGGGTGGGAATGTCCCCCCGCATTCGAAACCCTGGATAGCTGCTGCCACTCAGTGCAGGCTAGTTCAAGAAGGATATTGAGCAGCTGGAAGGTGAGCAGAGGAGGGCGATCAGGATGATGAAGGGTCTGGAAACCAAGCCTGATGAGGAACAGTTGAGGCAGCTGGGTATGTTTAGCCTGGAGAAGAGGAGAGAGGAAAGCCATCTTCCAATATCTGAGGGCTGCAAGAGGGAGCAAGCTTGTTTTCTGCTGCTCCAGAGGGGAGGGCAGGAGAGGAGATACAGACTAAACATTAGAAAGAACTTTCTGATGGTAAGACTCTCTGGGATTGTGGTGGACTCTCCTTCCTTGGAGGATATTGAGCAGCTATTAAAAGAATTATGATTCTTTTAATAATAATAATAATTTCAGTGAGCTGGGTGACAAGAAATTTTCTGCACCGGGTACCACCTGACCATGCTACACCACTGCAGCCAGCCTAAACTTACACCAGATCTAAATCCCATTCAGCAGTGGGGTTACTGCTGCCATGACTAAGCCTGGCAGAGGAAAAATATTCCTTCAAAATAGTGTTTTATGTCAGGTTTCTTTTTCTTTTTCTTTCTTTTTTTTTGCATATATTTTTACTGGGTTTTCTGTTTTACAATTTAAAGTACTCATTTTTACATCCTTAAGATATCTATGACTTCCCTTCTTCTCTTTCCATGGTTCATTTTGCATATTCATAAATCCCTGCATATTTTACAAAAACTAAACCATTCGGTATTCCATTATTGCTATTGAATTTATCTTAATGCTGCCAGTGTTTTCAGCTGTAAACAATTATTACCCATATATTCAATTAACATTTTCAAATCTTCTCTAAACGTATGTTCTTCTGGTTCTCTTGTTCTATATGTTAAGTCTGTGAGTTGTGCAGATTCTGTCAACTTAAGCTGACATTCTTCTTTGGTTGGGACCTCATTCGTTTTCCTTTTTGGGGCTAACAATACATGGGCCGCAGTAGTGGCATACATAAATAACCTTTTTTGACACCTGGGAATTTCCGTATGAATTATCCCCAACAGAAAGGACTCTGGGTTTTTGGGGGGAAATACTTTTAAAGCTTTTTTTCCAATTCATTATGGACCATTTCCCAATACTCTTTTACCCTTTTACAAGTCCAATGTTTCATGTCAGGTTTCCAGGTCATGTGGCTGACATGAAAGGGCTTAGCATCCAGCCTATGTCTCCAACATATATTTAAAGGACTTTTAAATCACCCTTCCTCAAGAATCTTGTGAACTATAGTTTACCCCACACAGAGCTACAATTCCCACCACCTTTAACAAATTACAGTTCCCAAGGTTTTGGGGCTGAGGTTGCTTTTAATGTATGGTGTGTACACAGCCTTGAACACATGAAGTTATTAAAACAGGTAGCCCGTTCCATTGAACCACTTACCCTATAAATATATCCGTTTCCTCAATCTCCAGTGCCATAATTAGCCACTTCAAACTTGCTGGAACAGTCATTGTTTTCTAATGCCTGGCTCAGGTGATTTTAGCAGCAATTAGCTTTTTCTGAAGTAATAATCCCATAGTTACCTGTCCTTGTTCAAAGATGTTCGGTAACACTGTTAAACGCTCGCGCTTTATACTTAACTATTATATGGGTGGGTGGGGGAAAACCTCAGTGATTTGATTCCAATATATCCGAGCACGAAAAGATTTGCCGTATATGTGTGGGAAGTCTGCATAATCATCGTGGCATTTCCAACAGTTAATTGTATTTGATTTTCAAGGACCTTTTTAATCTGTAAGTCATATGCCACTGGAAGGTCAAATTACATCTTTACATAGTGAAAACTGTACAATTATAATATGAATCTTTCCCCCAGGTAGTCCTTATGAGGTATCTAAACCCTATATTCATAATATTGTGCATTGCTTCTTTTCTGGTTTAGTCATCATCAGTTAATTTGTATGCTGCTTTTTCTATGGTAAACCACGTTCCAAGCATTTCTCAATGTCAGAACAGAATACATATTATTGCAACATTTGAAGATAATTCCATACCCTCCAACATTTCTCCGATGAAAATAGGGACACCCTATTCCATAATAAGCATTTTACTGTTTATACCGTGCCCATCTTATTGGGTTGCCCCAGCCACTCTGGGTGGCTTCCAACATATATAAAAACATAATAAAACATCAAACAATTAAAAAGTTCCCTATACAGGGCTGCCTTCAGATGTCTTGGGGGGTTGAATAATTCCATGCTCTCCAACATTTCTCTGATGAAAATAGGAACATCCTACCATACCTTCCAAGATTTCTCCGACAAAAATAGGGAAGTCCTAAGGAAAAGCAGGACATTCTGGGATCAAATCAGAAATTGGGCCATCTTCTGTAAATCCGGGACTTTCCCTGGAAAACAGGGACACTTGGCGGGATTGCAATTCATTAACAGTTACAATTATCTGTAAAAATCAAACGTTTAATAAGTTTTTACTTTTTTTCACACTAGGATAAAACAATCATAGTAAAGCCAAATGACAGAAATACAAAAACAAATTCCAAGTTACAGTAAGCAACAACTATAACTGGAAATATATGTTGTTGGCAACAACAACCCCTCTTGAGATGGGACAGACAGGGCATCTGTTAGCCAAGTCTTACAACAAATTACCTCAATGCATCTTCATCTCATAGTGCAAATTGTCCTCTCTTCCTAATTTCCTCCCCATTGATAACAGGATAATCCAAACCCAAGCCAGGCACTGCTACTAACATTGTCCTGAGTGCCAGGCAAATTGATGTGTGCTGGCACTGCATCAGTGATGCTGTCCAGTGATGGCAGTGGGGAGAGCTTGGGATCCACTGGATCCTGAGCTGGCTCTGACCCTCCCCATGTTGGGGTTTTCCATGTGTTGCCACCAGTGGTGTTTCTGCTCACAGAATGTGGAGATCTGAGCTGGTGGAGTGATGCCAGTGTCACTCTCTCTAGGGCTAGTCAATTCTTTAAAAATGTAGTATAAACACCGACAACTGGGAAACACTGGCCTGTGAGTGCTCCAGTTGGAGAACAGCCTTTACCAAAGGTGGCATGGGCTTTGAAGCCGCTCGAACTCAGGACAAAGGGAGAAATGTGCTGAGAGGAAGTCATGCTTGGCAAACCCTCACCGTGATCAACTCCCACCCAGAAACCTGTGGAAGGACGTGTGGCTCCAGAATTGGCCTCCACAGTCACAGACTCACTGTTAAGACCATGTTCATGGAAGACAATCTTACTCAGCTACGAGTGATCGCTGAAGAAGAAGAAGAAGAAGAAGAAGAAGAAGAGTAGAGCCCAGTGGAGGGACATCTTTACCCATTGCAGCCCCTTTATTTTTGTCCACCCACAGTAGTGCTTCAACAGCTATTGAGATTGATGTCCATTCCAACCAACAGCGTACATAGTCTAGACCAGGTTTTCCCCAACTTGAGTCTCCAGCTGTTTTTGGACTACAACTCCCATCATCCCTAGCTTCCAGGACCAGTGGTTAGCAGGATGGGAATTGTAGTCCAAAAACAGCTAGAGGAGACCCAAGTTTGAGAAACCCTGGTCCAGACCCTTAAAACTAAAAATTTGGTACCATTATGCTTCCCCCACAGAAGCCCCCTTCCCCGCTTTCCCCTCAGTCCTCCAGGGCAGCTTTACCAGGGGTGCATTATGCTGACTGGGGAAGGAGAAAATGGTGAAAAATGTCATCCCCTCTACCCATCACAGGAGAGTCTCACAAGCAGGACTCCACTCATGACTCATCTAGCTCTAATCCTTTAACTTTTGTAAAGCAGCCTCCGTTATTTGTTCCCTTTACAAATTGCAAACTTGGCTGAGAAAATGCTGCACAAGGTAGTGTCCCAGAGAGCAAAGTCTCAAACGGCTATTATCAAGGTACAAGCGTGCTTGATAACACAATCAAGGATCTCCATAATTCATGCCAATCTTTTTTATTCAGGGAGATATAATGATACGTATGCGGTGTGGAGATAAATGGCAGAAAATTGTCTCCTTAAAGCTCCATGTGTATTTAAAAGAGATCAATTATTGTGCTAATAAGCCAGCTCAGCATTACTGCGTCTTCTTTTGAATGATATTCTTATACTCCTGCTCTTTCTGATCATATTGTTAAGCTCTTTCCCTTTTTGTGTGTGTTCCCTTTTCGGCTCTTTTAATGACCAAGTGTTTTATGAATGCTTTTAGTTCTAAAGCCAGCACCAAGCAGATGCAAACTGATGTGTGGAATTAGTGCTGCCTAGTAAAGTATTGCAATTCCAGAGAATGTAAGCAGCAAAATTTCTTACAGTGAACGCTTCAAGCGTTGAAGCAACTCGTCCAAAAACTGTATAATTGTCCTGGGAAAATTGGTTAGGGCAGTGGTTCCCAAACTTCCCCACCAACAACTTCCAAATTGTGGAGGATTTTGAACCAGCTAATGTCCCTCCCCACCCCCTGCCTGTTGTAGCAACTGTGCTGTGCTGTGATAAATGCTGGATGATTTTTAATTGTATTTTATTGCTTTTTCTATTGTGTTTTAGGTAAAGGTAAAGGGACCGCTGACCATTAGGTCCAGTAATGACCGACTCTGGGGTTGCAGCGCTCATCTCGCTTTATTGGCCGAGGGAGCCGGCATACAGCTTCCGGGTCATGTGGCCAGCATGACTAAGCCGCTTCTGGCGCCACTGCATTGCAATTTGCATTCGCGTTGTAATGCAATTAAATACAATATAAGAAATAAAAGAAGCAATGAAACATACATTTAAAAATCAATATGAATATTAAAAGTGAAGAGGCCACAGGCCGCCTGAATGAAGCTCACAGACCATAGTTTGGGAACCCCTGGTTCAGGGAAATATAAGGCAGAAGCAGCTTTTGCTTATAAAATGAGGAAATGCAAGATCTGCTGGGATAAGCAGCTGAGGATGCAGTGGATCTCCATCTCAGCTGGCTGATTCCCAGTCAGAGGTGCCACCATGAGGCGAAGATGTCGTGCTCGGCTCGGCGGTACAACCTCCTTTGCCCTCTCAATATTTGGGGGGCAGAGCCCCCTGCTAAAGAATATTGAGGGGGCTGAAGATACCCAGAGGCATAGCAAGGGGTGTGTGGTAGGTGCAGGCCGCCCCGGGTGTCCCCACTGAGGGGGGTGACAAAATGGTGGGCGGCACTCACGCTGGGCCTGCAGCGCGCCCGAGCCATGCGTCTCTCCTGGAAGTGATGCGGTGGCTTGAGTGCCCATAGGCTCTGCGTTGCCCAAACAGTCCACCCGTTGCCTCCCCCTCAGGCTGAGTGGGAGGAGGCAGGCAGACTCCTTGGAGGACCTGTGGTGCCCCAGTGGGTGGCTGGCCCCACCCCATGGGGGGCTGGCCCCACCCCTGGGTGCAGGGCACGCACGCCACCCCAGGCGCCTGATCGGCTTGCTCCGCCGCTGATGACAGCTCTGCCCCCTAGCGTTGGCACACCTGTTCCCAGTTCGGTTTGAAATGTCCTATTCAAGCATAAAGCCTTGTTTTCAGTGAGAGAAATAAGCGGATAAAGAACAAGATGAAGATGAAAGGGAAGCAAGAGTTGGAAAGGAAAGAATGGGGAAGTGTTGATTCTTGTGTTTGTCAAGGGAGCAGTCAGACTACCAGGCAACGGTTACAATTTTTGGATATTATGACTGCAGTCAAAGTGCTCCAAAAAGGCATGCCATGTGGCATTAAATGAGTGCAGGGTGTCCTTTTGTATATATGTCACGCACTATCGAGATGCAATTCTTGGAGTTCTGCTACCCATTCATCAATATCAGGTGGAGAGTGGGATTTCTAGGCACATAAAACCAGTTGCTTAGCAACCAAGGCCACACATTGAATCCAAGCCACATGCATCTTATTTAGAACCTATCGGACCAAAAAGTAACCAAGCACCAAGTGAGCAAGTGAAAATTTATAGGTTGTGATTCTTTACTTGACATCCTTCCAAAATTATCTTAGCGTTCCATTTGTGTAAGAGTAGCCTTTAGCTTTCCAACTCTCCAGGAAGCAAACCTATCAAAATTGTTTCGTTTTACTTGTACAGAATGGAACCAGTGAATTCTCAGGAATACCTTTTGCTATACTAGTAAGTCTGAAATCAAGCATGAAGTAAACAATAGCGTTAAGGGCCTCTTTCCACTTTACGGGGTGGGGGTTGCCTCAATTCTGGAATCTGTGAAAGACATTTGAGACCCAAATCATAGACAATAATTTCCACTTAGTGGTAATACAGTTTTCTTGTTGCTGTTGTTTTGGGGGTGGGAAATGATCACACTTATTTGAATTTAACCAGTTCGGACATTTCAGAAATTATACACGCATCAGGTGCAAAGTGACTGTACGGCCAACAGTTACTATTAGCAACATGAAGTTGGCTTTTTTGTAAGTCCAGGAAATAAACTAACAACCCTTGTGAATTCAATAATTGCAAGAGTTTGAAAATGCCTCAACTGAGCCAAGGTTGCTATGGAGGAAGACAAATTTCATTATTGCTTTTAGTGCCTGGTTAACACAGTGATTTCTAGTGAGTGTGAGTGTTAACATTTTATTGCTCAACCAGTATTATCCATTACCCCATGGGGAACCAGTGGCTCTTCAGAAGTTGTTGGACTAAAATTCCCATCATCCCTGATCGTTGGCCATGATGGTTGAGACTGTCTTAAACCAAGGTGGGTGCTGTTGCCCAGCTAAACTTAAAAGTCCACAGGTACTGCATGCTTGAGTTAACCTTTCCTACTGCAATGTATTTTCTCACCTAAAACACTTATAAAACTTACAGCAGTTTTATAAATACAGCAGAATATAAATTTTATGTATTGAGTTGAATAGGATCCAAAAGGCAGCAGTCTGATTGGTCCTTGAACAATAGGGTCCAGAATGCAGCAGTCTGGTTGGTCCTAGAACAATGCAGCAGTACTGTATGATTGGTCCACAGGAGCCACCCAATCCATCTTCAGGTGGAAGTGAATCCGCAACCTGATTGGCCTACAGGAGAATCCCAGAATTAGCCAATCACGTGCGGCTCATTGTGTAAATAATGTATATAAAGCAGATATTTTAGGGGAACTTTCATTCCTCACTACTATGAGCTGAATAAAGAGCATGAAATACACACTCGACTTCGAGTATATTTCAATAAATATTCAGCATGGATGCCTCAGACAAGTTGACGAGCAAATGGGAGATTGGAGGTCAAGGGGGTAAAGTTTATCGAAAGAAGATTTCAGAGAATACAGTGAAATGGGAAGTGGGAAGTCTGAGTGGTGGTAGATCATGAGTTTTGACGGGATAAGAGAAAACTGACTGTGACAGACAGGAAATGTTTTGCCTTACTTGGAGATCCTGGGAGATTAAACTGGGACTTTATGTGGGGAAAGCAAATGGTCTACCACTGAGTTACAGTCATTTCCTAAGTAACGAGAGAGAAAGAGAGTAATTAGAGGAAGACCAGAAGGAGGCATCTGATGGGCTTCTCATGCTGATGCAGGAATGCTTCCAGTTCACAAGCTCAGTGATGGTCTTGTGTTCTGTGTTATTCACCCAGGAACAATTGACATGTATGGACAACCTTTGTAATGCAAATAATGAGAGTTATTTCATGCATCTTTATTCTGTACCCACCTGTGTAGGAAGAATTAGCACCATCAAACAAGAAGCATAGATCCTCCATGTACAGTGGTACCTCGGGTTAAGTACTTAATTCGTTCTGGAGGTCCATTCTTAACCTGAAACTGTTCTTAACCTGAAGCACCACTTTAGCTAATGGGGCCTCCCGCTGCTGCCACTGCACGATTTCTGTTCTCATCCTGAAGCAAAGTTCTTAACCTGAAGCACTATTTCTGGGTTAGTAGAGTCTGTAACCTGAAGCGTATGTAACCTGAAGCGTATGTAACCCGAGGTACCACTGATTGAGCAAAATAAACATGCATCTTAAATAGAGATTGTAAATAGAGATTTTCCTTGTAAGGGAAAATATGACATATAGAATGGCCACCCAGTGAAGTTTCTTGCTACAATTCTTACAGATATGTTTATGAGTGAAGATGGCCTATGAGAAGTGAGAAGACAAAAAAATATTTCCAATATGGTCAAGAAACAGATGAACACTTAATATTTTAAATAAGGAAGGAAGGAAGGAAGGAAGGAAGGAAGGAAGGAAGGAAGGAAGAATTTTGAAAGCCCTGTTGCTTCCAAATACAGCGGTACCTCGGGTTAAGAATTTAATTCGTTCTGGAGGTCCATTCTTAACCTGAAACTGTTCTTAACCTGAAGCACCACTTTAGCTAATGGGGCCTCCCGCTGCTGCCACCCCGCCACCACACGATTTCTGTTCTCATCCTGAAGCAAAGTTCTTAACCCGAGATACTATTTCTGGGTTAGCGGAGTCTGTAACCTGAAGTGTCTGTAACCTGAAGCGTCTGTAACCCGAGGCACCACTGTAATGTGTTCGGAAGGCAGGTGGAAAGAAGTTAAACTTCGGTCACCTCCAAATGACCTGTTTATTGATCCTGATCCGTTTGCACAAATTTCTCAGGGAGGTTAGACGATGCTTATTATTGAACACTTGCTTGGATTTGGCTGCAATGAGGTTATATGATGATACATCAAGCAAGTATCATTTCCTTTTCATATCACTTTCATTATTTAAATGGGCTACAGTGTTAGACCAGGGCTGGATCTATATGGATATAAAAAAACACTACAGGAAAAAAAGCTATAAAAGCTCTCAAAGCAAAATTGTGTCGCTGGCAGCTCCTCCTACTGCTGCAGAGGGGAAGGATGAGGGAAGCATCCCCCAGACAGTGGATGCAGTAGTAGGAGGAGGAGGCTGAGTGCCAGAGAGAAAGAGCCACCAGCCATTGAAGCTGGGCTGCTGCGACATTCAACTCCACCCATGGCTCCTCCCTGTGTCACAAGGATGCCATGTGTGTGTCATGCCCTCCCGCACGGCAATCTTCTGCTCAAGTTGCTGTCTCTGACTGTGGGCCAGCTGCCATATCTCAGACTAATTGTTGTTGTTTAGTCGTTTAGCCGTGTCTGACTCTTCGTGACCCCATGAACTAGAGCACGCCAGGCACTTCTGTCTTCCACTGCCTCCCGCAGTTTAGTCAAACTCATGTTGGTAGCTTCGAGAACACTATCCAACCATCTCATCCTCTGCCATCCCTTTCTCATTGTGCCCTCAATCTTTCCCAACATCAGGGTCTTTTCCAAGGATGTCTTCTCTTCTCATGAGGTGGCCAAAGTATTGGAGCCTCAGCTTCAGGATCTGTCCTTCCAGTGAGCACTCAGGGCTGATTTCCTTAAGAATGGATAGGTTTGATCTTCTTGTAGTCCATGGGACTCTCAAGAGTCTCCTCCAGCACCATAATTCAAAAGCATCAATTCTTCGGTGATCAGCCTTCTTTATGGTCCAGCTCTCACTTCCATACATCACTACTGGGAAACCATAGCTTTAACTATACGGACCTTTGTTGGCACTGCCTTGCCGTGGCGAAGGGGCTTGAATAACTCAGAGATGCTATGAACTATGCCGAGCAGGGCACCCAAGATGGACAGGTCATAGTGGAGAGTTTTGACCAAACGTGATCCACCTCGATGAGGAACCGGCAAGCCACTCCAGTATCCCTGCCAAGAAAACTCCATGGACAAAGACAACAGACATATCTCAGACTAATGTGAGAATAAAACAGACATATCTCAGACCTATATGTGAGAATAAAACAAGTTCCTTGGAGAGTCGATGGGATACACACCAGGCACATAGATGTTATGAAATCCATCAGACTTTGCTTTCAGAGCTACAAATGCGAGCCCATTAGTGTAAATGAGAAAGTCGGCGTGCGCATTGTTTCGAGCAATTTGTTCAATCTTTGGTGTAAACAAATTTGCAGTGCTAATTGTTTTAAGTAAGCGAATTGCATGTGCTCCTCGTCAAATTCTGCTTTTGTCTTTTCGCAAGAGAGAATTGTGTAAATAAAGTGTACTTTGTTTGATTAAACAAATCTATGGGATTTGATTTAAATGTGGTGAATGATTAAGTATGCTAACTCTATGGGATTTGATTTAAATGTGGTGAATGTTTAAGTATGCTAAATGGATGACAAAACTATGAATCTTCCATCAAACCCAGGAAGATCAGTATGGGCACAAACGAAAACCACAAGCAAACCGGAGTTGTCTGAACTGCCTTTTTTTTGCTAAGCTGAACAGCTTTGTGTATGGTTTTTGCAATGCCTCTTTGTCAGTTACCCCATTTGTGACGAATATTCTTTCACTCCTCCCTTCCTTGGAGAACCCTTTCACATGGGTCAGTTTTCTTGTGAGGAATAAGCTTTGGACTGGATTCCTTTAACAGGTGTATAGCTTAAGTATCAGAGAAAGAGATAGATAATTTAGACAGACATTTTGTTTTTAAACCAGCACCTGTTTCCAAGAAGCATTCTCATGGAGTCTCAATGTATTTTTATTAACAGATACATGTAAAAACAGACTTGCTGGCTCAAATCAAATGCTCTCCTCTATCTCAGTACTTCCGAAAATAAATTCCCTCGTGGACCACTTGAAAATTGCTGAGGGTTTTGGTAGGAAACTTAATATTTTTCTCTGCCCATTTTAGCTATTGTAATATGCTAGGCTAGATATTGTATTACTTTGAATTGTATTTTTGTGTTTTTTATTATTATATCAGAAATTTATTGTACTGCAATGTAAGAAATAAAAGAAACAAAAAACATTCAATTTAAAACCAATATGAATATTTAAAGCAGACAAGTCGAGGACCACCTGAATGAAACTCATGGACCACTGGTGGTCCACAGAGCACAATTTTGGAACTCCTGCTCTACTTTCTTCTCCAGCTAGTAGCCACCAGCCATCAAAAGCTATTAATGCTTCTTTCCTCAGGTATCTTCTCACCATCAGTGCCCACAGAAGAAACTAAAAGAGAAAACCTGAAACGAAACAGGCCTGACTTGGAGATCATTGCAACAATATTTAACGCTTCCCAGGTAGGCTTCCATTTTGTCGTTCAGATTTAATTTTCACTATACTGCCGCAAAGGAGTTTAATTAAAACCACTAATTAATCATTCAGTTGTCCTGATGCACAACTGGCAGTTAGCTTGATTTGCCATGGCACCTATTTGATTGATGGGCAACATGGCGAGAAGTAACTCAGATACATAAAATGACTTTGCATGTGGCAAAACTTTTTTGGGCGGGGCATGGAGGTCAAATGTGCATTGTTTTATGATGTTCTAAGTCACTGTGTTAGCAAGCCTTGAAAATCGTGTTTGCATTTTTTTATTATTTTTTTAAAAAGCCCTAGTCAGAAATAATTTTCTTCCAAATGGAATCTTGGTTAAAATTGACTTAAGTCCCATTTGAAATTAAGCTCTTCAGGATTCTTCAGTAGCTCAGTCCTGGAAAGGTAATCTATGGATGTGTGTGTGTTTATGCAAGTGTTGTTCTTGGATTCCATTGAATATGATCACGTATGAGGGCGAGAGGCACAACTCCACTGGTTCATAAATTTTAAACTTGAAGAGACAGTTCAAACTACCTTGCCCGCCCTCCTGTAGACAGGTCATTTAATTTCCTCTAGTTATTTCTCTTATCGAGCCCACCGACGTATCCGTGGCTAACATGTGTCTTATTTGGAATAATTTATTTTCACAATGGAAGGTTCCTGTTGTTTGCAAAATGCATTATTCATCTTGCATTTCGGCAGTGACAAAGCCGTGCCATGATAGCCGTTTGTGAGATAAAAGTAAATACATGTGCTTGGAATTTTTTAAGGGAAGTCTTTTCCACCTCCCTTCCTTTTCGGAATTATCGTGAAGTTTAACAGGACTGCTGTTTCAAAGGCATGGCACAGAAGTTCAAGTGGGTCTCATTTGCAACAGGGGTGGGGCAGTGGGCAGAATATACCCACACCTGTACCTTCTTTGAGGGATTAAGGGGGCCGTATGCTAATGAACAATAGAGCCATATTTATACCACATAGCAGAATGAAGTGAGGGATAGAGGAATGGAGACAAGGTTCAGTGCATTAATGAGGGCATGTAAGAGTTTAATTGCTGACACAAACGTGTAAGTACAGAGTAGGACAGCTAAGAAGGTTATGAAGAACAGGAAATTATCTTCTACAACTATTTAGAGGAACCAAGGGAATTAGGTTAATGTAGTGTAGAGCCACTTTAAAAATGAAGGAGATGAGACCTTGGTGTAGGATGTAAAATGCAGGGAAAAGTGGAGAACATTCTCTAAGGTGCTCTTAATCTATGAGTAAAAGTTTGCAGGTTAAGGGTTATTGCAGCCCAAGGTAATTATGACCAATTTTCAATAGAATATTCATCATTGCATATTCAGTAATCCCTGCTGTCCCCAACACTGATGATATCAGACTTGGCATCCGAAGCGCAACAAGCATATCGTCATTTGACTGATTACAATGAGAGTTGGAAATACCTGAGAGCAGAAACAGGAGCGGGCAAAATTTTGAACCAGTCCTCATTTAAAGGTGAGGCTACCTAATATACGCATTCTGACAAAAAAAATGTGCCATGAAACACAGTCGCCTATTGAAATTTGCACTTATCTGAATTTTGCCATGCCAAGTAATGTGTAAGAAAATGCACATACTAGGGTAAGGTGTGCATCAGAATGCATATACAGTGGTACCTTGGTTCTCATACTTAATCTGTTCCAGAAGTCCTTTCCAAAACCAAAGCGTTCCAAGGCCAAGGTGCGCTTTCCCATAGAAAGTAATGCAAAACGGATTAATCCGTTCCAGACTTTTAAAAACAATCCCTAAAACAGCAATTTAACATGAATTTTACTATCTAACGAGACCATTGATCCATAAAATGAAAGCAATAATCAATGAACTGTAGTATAAAATAAATAAGACAGTATTGTGGATGATAAAAATTAAAAAAAAAAAATTCTTACCTGCACTGATGATAGTCATTGTTTGGATGGGGGGCTCTTATCCATCTCCACAGTCACACAATCAATCAATCAATCAATCAATCAGTAGCTGAACTGGGTTCCACACAGTCACAAAATTAATTGAAAAAGCCTCAAAAACGAAAACACAGAATAAATTGAATAAACTGGGGGTGGGGGGGGAGAAGCACCAAACTTCATCCGTTCCGGAAGTGTGCTTGACTTCCGAAATGCAGTGGTGCCTCGCAAGACGAAATTAATTCGTTCCGCGAGTTTTTTCGTCTAGCGAATTTTTCGTCTTGCGAAGCACGAAATCCCATAGGAATGCATTGAAATTCAATTAATGTGTTCCTATGGTCAAAAAAAGTCCAAACAAAGCCAGATTTGGTACAACAAGAGTTTATTAAGTGCTCTTTAAAGTCACACATACTGTAAAGAGCATTTCAAAAATTGAAGGAACAATAAATTAAGTTTCTAAACATGACAGGAAAAACATTTAAAAATCAACAAAGTGTACACTACATTTTCTAAGACTCTGGGGGACCACTCGAAGAAGGTTCCTCTTCCACTCTTTGCTTCTTGCTAAATAACCTGTCCATGGTCTGATGCGTCATCTGCCTTTTCAGCACCCTCCCTGAAAGGCGGCATGACCGATCATATCAAAGTGTTCGCAAGGTCATGTGCCACGTGCTTGTTAGGGTGGTTCCGCTGTGCAAAAGCCTGCACATCCTTCCACTTCATGCAAATGTCCCTCAGTTCTTTGGAGGACAGCCGTTCCTCAGTTGCTTCCTTCTCTTCCAGCGAGGCCTGCTCCTGCGCAGCCTCTGCCTGCAGTTCGACCAGCTCCTGGGTGGTCAGCTCGTGGTCGTGCTCCTCCACCAGCTCGCAGACGTCCTCCTCTGTGACCTCCAGGCCCGTGGTCCTCCCCAAGGCAGCAATGTCCTGCACCACTGTTGACTCTGGTGCATCAGAGTCACTTGGTGCCACACAGTCCGGCCACAGACTGCGCCAAGCGCAATTCAAATTTCTCTGGCTGATCCCGTTCCAGGCCGTGGTGATCATCTTCAAGCAGGTGACGATGTCGAAGTCGTCCTTCCAGAATTCCCGCAGGGTGATGGTGGTGCAATCAGTCACCTCGAAGCATCGCCTGAAAAGCTCCTTGGTGTAGAGTTTTTTGAAATTGGTGATGACCTGCTGATCCATCGGCTGGAGAAGTGGCGTGGTGTTAGGTGGCAGGAACATGATGTTGATGAAGCTGAACTCCTCCAACAAGTCCTCCTCAAGGCCTTTAGGATGAGCAGGAGCATTGTCCATCAGAAGCAAAGCCTTCAGCGGCAGGTCGTTGTCCAGCAGGTACTGTTTGACAGCAGGGCCAAAAGCAAGATTGACCCAGTCCACAAACAGCACACGTGTGACCCAAGCCTTACTGTTGGATCGCCACATGACACTCAGCTGCTCCTTGTCGACCTTGTGTTTCTTGAAGGCCCGTAGGTTCTCCGAGTGGTACACCAGCAGGGGCTTGATCTTCAGGTCGCCGCTAGCGTTGGCACAGAAGAGCAGGGTCAGACGGTCCTTCATGGGCTTGTGGCCAGGCAACTTGGCCTCCTCCTGAGTGATGAAAGTCCTTTTGGGCATCCTCTTCCAAAACAGCCCGGTCTCGTCGCAGTTGAAGACCTGCTGTGGAACATAGCCCTCTGTCTTCACAGCCTCCAGGAACTCCAAGGCAAAGTCTTCAGCCGCAGGAACATCAGAACTGGCAGCCTCTCCATGCCTGACCACGCTGTGGATTCCAGATCTCGTCTTGAACCGGTCAAACCAGCCTCTGCTTGCCTTGAAGACTTCTGGCTCGCCTGAGGTTCCTGGCTGTTCCCGGATGAGGTTTGCGTGCAAGGCCTTGGCCTTCTCACAAATCATGGCCTCAGTCACTGTGTCCCCTGCACGCTGCTTCTCTTCTAACCAGATGAGCAGCAACTTCTCGACCTCCTCCAGAACAGCTGGGCGGTTCTTCACGATCCTGGTGACTTCCTTGGCTGCATCAGTCGCAAGGATCTTCTCCCTCATCTTCAGGATGGTGCCGATGGTCGATGGGTTCCTGCCATACTCCCTGGCGAGGTCTGTCACACGCATTCCACCGTCGTGCTTCCGGATAATCTCCTTCTTAATTTCCAGCATCACCTTCTCCTTCTTCCTCTCGCCGGCCTCTGCAGCAGCAGTCTTCTTGGGTCCCATGGCAGCACAGCTCCTAGCTTCGTAAACTCAGAAAAAAAAAAATCAGTGCTTCACACCCAAAAAATTCAAAAGCACCCAGCCACCCACCACACAGGAATTCAAACCCAGAACCAAGTCCTTGAATTCCAAACACCCAACCCAAAATCCAAAAACCCCCAAAAAAAGTTTTAAAAAGTTTAACTTACGAAATGGCTGCAAATCACCAAAGTCTTCAAAATCCTCAAATGGCTGCAAAGAAGTTTTGTAAAAGCTTTAAAAATCACCAAAGTCTTCAAAAACCTCAACTGTTCCCCCAGCCACCCACCCACCACACAGAAATTGCAAACCCCTCCCCAACTGTTGCAACCCCCCCCAACTGCTCCCCCAGTCACCCACCACACAGAAATTCAAACTCATAAATGTTTTTTGAAAAAAAAAAAAAAAAACATGGGCCAATGGTCAAAGAAAATCATAAAAATTCAAAAAAAACCCACACAAGCTCCCAGATTCTTGCAAACCCCTCCTCAACTGTTCCCCCAGCCACCCACCACACAGAAATTCAAACCCAGAATTTTTTTAAAAAAAAACACAGCAGAGTGCCCCAATGGTCACAGAAAATCATAAAAATTCAAAAAAAACCACACACAAGCTCCCAGATTCTTGCAAACCTCTCCCCAACACCAAGTCCTTGAATTCCAAACACCCCAACCCAAAATCCAAAACCCCCCCAAAAAGTTTTAAAAGTTTAACTTACCAAACGGCTGCAAAAGAAGTTTTGGAAAAGCTTCAAAAATCCAGCAAACTCTTTAAAAAGCTCAGAAAGGCCATCACACCGCGTGCAATGTGTTGCTCCTCGAAGTCAAGTCGCAACTGCACCTCTTCAAGCAATGCACCCTGGATATTAACGGTTTTACGAAAAAGGAAACAAACTTGCAAGATGTTTTCCTCTTGCGAAGCAAGCCCATAGGGAAATTCATCTTGCGAAGCAGCTCAAAAAACGGAAAACCCTTTCGTCTAGCGAGTTTTCCGCCTTGCGAGGCATTCGTCTTGCAGGGCACCACTGTGTTTGAAAACCAAGGCACAGCTTCTGATTGGTGCAGGTGCCCCAGAAACAATAGCCAACAGCCGCATCGGATGTTCGGCTTCCAAAAAACATTCAAAACCCGGAACACTTACTTCTGGATTTTTAGTGTTTGACAACCAAGGTACCACTGTTATTCATGACAGCAGCATACAAAGACTGTCATCATTACCTCTTACTGTGGAAAACCGATTAAGCAAAAATAATTGGCTATTACATCTGCAGCCCCTGCTCTTGAGGAGGCTCATTGGTGCTTTCCCGAACTTTTGATGAGTGGTTTGTCACATCAAATAGGTGGCCCCTATGCCCACATCCCTTTTCCCCTTTGTCCTGCCTCTCAACACAATTTTGCTTCTTGCAGCCCAAAGTATTGCTGCTAATTGCAGCATGCCGAAGGCACATTCAAACCGTTTGGCGGCGCTATTCTTTCAGGATCTCTCAGCATGTAGGAAATTAATTACCTTGGAGACTGAAACCACAGTATATACAGCCTGTCATAAAGGCCTGTACTTTTCATTGGACTAGTAGGATAGGGTTGCCACATTTCAAAAAGTGAAAATCCAGACACAAAAGTTGTTGCTCTTTTTTCTTTTTCTTTTTGCAAAATCTCAAAAAAGAAGAAGTTTTTGAGCTATTTTTAAGGTAATTTGCCAAGACGTAATTTTAAGGTAATTTGCCACTTCCACGATTTCTACCCAGACACGGTTTCCGGTGGCCGAATCCCAGCTATGTCTAGGAAATTCTAGACATATGGCAACCCTATACTAGGACAGACTCTGCCTGCTTTAGGTGTACTGCCAACACTGTTGTCTAATCGCTTACTTGACTGAGGTGGTCTTGAGTGTGTTCAAGTACCCCAGGAGGTTGGTACTGAGCATAGGAGCCAACTCTTAGAGGCTGACGTCCCTTCAGGTCCACTAATCAGTGCTATTTTTCTTGAAAAAGAAGGGCTGGAACTCATCATGAACAATTTCTCTTAGAATGGCCATGGCACTCACCTGAGTTGACGTGCCAGAACTCACCTGAGAGGATCTGGAACTCTCACAGGTGCTGGAACTGTATGCCAGAGAATTCCCCCTGAAAAAAGCCCTGCCCCCAATAAAATATTTGAGGGGTCTGGGGGACCACAAAATTGATGCTGTGATTGATTATGTGGGGTAGGGCTTACCTCCCTCCTCCTATTTGATTCAAGTTGGCACCCCTGGTCCTGGGAGACTTCAATGCCAAGGCCACATTGACTGGGCCAGCTTGAGACTTCATGGCCTTCATGAGAACAATGAGGCTGTCACAATTTGTCATCTGTCACAATGCAGAAGGCATAACCTTGATTTGGTCTTTACCTCAGGGTGTGAAGGGGATATGGAGCAGGTGTTTTAAAGTAAAGGTAAAGGGACCCCTGACCATTAGGTCCAGTCGTGACCGACTCTGGGGTTGCGGCGCTCATCTCGCTTTATTGGCCAAGGGAGCCGGCGTACAGCTTCTGGGTCATGTGGCCAGCATGACAAAGCCGCAGGAGCTTGGACTGAGCAGCGGGAGCTCACCCCGTCGCGGGGATTCGAACCGCTGACCTTCTGATCGGCAAGTCCTAGGCTCTGTGGTTTAACTCACAGCACCACCCGCGTCCCACGTTTTTGTTTTAAAACGATGTAAAACCATTCCAGTGGGCGGCTGCTGCTACTGTGGCTTAGGAAAGACGTTTTTCATGCCTTGTAGACTGGGTGAAGTGCCCTAGAGATCATTGAGCAAATAAGGAGCAAGATCTGTTTGAAACACAGGCCACTTCCTACCAACAGTACCTCAGAGCTGTGTGTGCAGGGAGTGCATTTAAAAATGCAGCAACTAAGCATGACATTATTGTCCGTTTCTGTCACTTGGTGGCGCTGGGCTTAGTCATCTCCAACTAAGCAGTTTCTTATTCTGTTCTTGCTGCAGAATGAGGGAGTTTTCATTCCAAGGCAATCACAGCAACACACACGACTTTAATTGGAAAATAACCACCTTCTAGCGACAGCCATGTTTGGAACAAGAGGGCTGTCTCCCATTCAGGGGTTCAAATTGGGAATCTGCTCTGGAATGCAGGATATTTTCAGTCCCATGTTTTATAATGGAAGGAATCGCCACGAGCAGATGCAGAAAAAATATTTGTAGCATATTTTTTTTATAAATCTACAAACAAATATGACGAGTCCATAGCACATGAAAATCAGTGAATTGCAAAAGAGTCTACCTGGGGACCAGCGACAGTAGGGAGAATTGATATTCGGGTGACCAGGAAAGCAATCAAGGAGCTGGGAAACCTCTGACTCATAGGTCCCCCTCTCCATGAATTTACAGAGTGGTCTTAACTTAAGCAAGAAATTATTTCACACAGACATCTGCACACCTCTACCACACTGCCATAAGGAGATAGTAAATGTCTGTCCCCACAGAATTGTTATAAAGCTTTTTATTTTTAGAAAAAGGGATTCTGGACCAGATGGATCCTTAGTCTGATCCACCAGGACTACTGAATCAAGTTGCTGTAATTCAAAGTGGGGTTCAAACCCAATGGAAACAACTCAATATTTATTCATTTGTCTATTCGTTTATTTCAAATCTTGCTCGCTCATTCCTTTGGAACTGGCAGCTTGGGGTGTTTATTTCCACATTTTGTACCCAATCTTTGCATAAGCTTACATCTAACAAAAAAAGTGTCTTTTAAAAGTGCCAGAATCATACTGGTATTCAAAAGCATACTGCCTCCAAGCAGTTGCCAAATGTTCCAAATGAACAGTACCCTGGAGTTATGATTTGTGTTGTCCTGAGCGTTCAAAGCAAGCTGCATTCTAACTGCCTCAGAACTCCAAGGCGTAGTTGCTACAGTGCTCAGACCAGCTTCAGTCTTCTCAGGTCTTATCTGAGGTCAGACACGCCATAGAGAAAGCCCTGAAAAAAAGCTCTTGTGTACCAGAGGCTGGCTAAAGAACTGATTTCCTGTAGGTGCATATATGCAGCACTCCTCAGTTCCCCACCAACATAGCAGTGTTTTCTCAGATAAGAAGAAATTGACTTGTAGTTCCTTTTGTCCTGTCTGAGAGCCAGTTGGTAGGCTTTTGACGCGTGTGTGTGTGTGTGTGTGTGTGAGAGAGAGAGAGAGAGAGAGAGAATGAGGACTAAAGTCAGAAAGGATTCTTTCCTGAACAGGAACAGTAGCTGGTTGGTCTGTTGCACCAAACTTTCTTTCAAGGGTAGAATGTGTAACTTTGGTTGGACCTGACATTTTAACAATGGAGAGGGAAGGGAGGGGAGCATAGGAATGCAGAGGAGGAGTGGACAAGTCAAGAACCCCCTTATCTGCATGAAGGGGGTCCATGCAACAAAAGGAGTTGTGCAGTTGTACAATTTCTTCACCCCTGGGGAAGTCTGATTCCTGGTACCTAGGATTACAGGTTGAGCAGACTTTTCCATTCCTACGTCTCAAGGGGCAAGATGCAGAATTCGCCCTAGAACGATGGCATTGTTTTAGCTGCAGATCACTATTTGCTCAAACTTTAGGAGATGTCCATATGATACTGTGCCTAAGTATGTAATGGCTATCTTTCGTCTGTGTTTTTCTCCAGCGTGCCTTCTATCGCCAGCCTTCCCAGTACCAAAGCTAAAGTTCCACCCCAGGCACATTATGGCTCCTTTCAATTATGGCTGCTGTGCAGGGTATCCTGTTTTCAGCTGGGTGCCTTTGTCCTGGCTCTTGAATGGAGAGTGTGGCAGGTGGAGGACATCCTGGGCAGCAACAAACCTGGCATTGTAGGGATTGGGATCTGGGGTGCCTGTTCCATGTGTAGAATTACAAGGAAGATAATCAACATTATATGCATACCATTAAACGATGAGGAGTCCCTACCCTCTGAAATCATCCTTGCCCAAGACTTGATGCCATTGGCCTCAATTGCCAATGCGGTGACTGTTTCTCGTATGGCCTTTGCGCCATATAACTTCTTTAAGCCTGGAAAACACAATGATTTCATTGCTACCTTCTTTTCCATTGGAGCAATTATGGACTTGGCAGCAGGTACATTTGTATATGCCTGTTGTCTTTGTCCATGGAGTTTTCTTGGCAGGGATACTGGAGTGGCTTCCCGGTTCCTGATGCAGGTGGATCACGTTTGGTCAAAACTCTCCACTATGACCTGTCCATCTTGGGTGCCCTGCTCGACATAGTTCATAGCTTCTCTGAGTTCTTCAAGCCCCTTCGCCACAGCAAGGCAGTGATCTATGAAGAGATCCATGAAGTGAGAGCTGGACCATAAAGAAGGCTGATCGCCGAAAAATTGATGCTTTTGAATTATGGTGCTGGAGGAGACTCTTGAGAGTCCCATGGACTGCAAGAAGATCAAACCTATCCATTCTTAAGGAAACCAGCCCTGAGTGCTCACTGGAAGGACAGATCCTGAAGGTGATGCTCCAATACTTTGGCCACCTCATGAGAAGATTCCCTGGAAAAGACCCTGATGTTGAGAAAGATGGAGGGCACAAGGAGAAGGGGACGTCGGAGGACGAGATGGTTGGACAGTGTTCTCGAAGCTACCAGCATGAGTTTGACCAAACTGCGGGAGGCAGTGGAAGACAGGAGTGCCTGGCGTGCTCTGGTCCATGGGGTCACGAAGTCGGACACGACTAAACGACTAAACAACAACAACATTTGTACTTATTTCCATTTCGTGGAATCTGCATTCTACATTAACAAAGGAAGGAATTCAGCTTCCTGAGGTTTTGGGAGTGCCTCCCATTCTAACAGAACAACATGTTGGAATTTCTGTCTATGTGGGGCTTATTGCTGCAGTTTCACAGCGCTTAAGTGTGAAACTTAAGAATATTTTTGGGAAATGAGTGAAATAAACACTTCAAAGGAAAAATTTGTAAATGACCCAGAAAGTGTTAGACACTGAAAACCCAACGATGAGGCTGAAATGCAGGTAGTATTACTCTTCTATGCCCCATCCAGCGAATGCAATGGCTCTTTCTACCCTTTTTATCTTTGATTCTTCTCCTCCAGCCTCACCTTCCCACCCACTTTTCTGTCTTTCCCTCCGCAGCATCCCACAAGGAAGGAGCATGCCCGGTCTGAATCTAACCCAAGGAAATTAACCCATCCTTAAAGGAAAAAAAAACTATTAAAAAAGCCCGAGTAGAAGATCCTTCGTTCCCACACCATCTGGATTGGGATACTGGCATGGGGCTTCCAATTGTGGCTTGGATCTAGGCTGAGCTCCTTATGGCTGCAGTTTGCATTGGGGAAAAGGCCTTCTAACTACCCAAACCAGGGGGTCCTGACCAGTGCTTGTTTTTTAAAAAAATGTTTCAGGGTACGTTCACTTTGACTCAAGCTATGAATGAAAAAGTATGCAACACAAGGGGCTGTGCCCTTGCTCGCTTGCTCACCAAACCTCTGCCATCCACACCATTAGCACCCTAGACTTTTTACTTTTCACCCTATGCAATTACTAAGCTTGCTTTTGACCTTTTCAATCTCATTTATAAAGCTACGTTCTTCTATCCTGCAGTTCTGTTTTGCCCTGGTTTTCACCTTCACAGTGCAGCTCTCTTTAGAGCATTTATAGTTCATCATCTCAATCCTGGCCTTGCACAAAGTCAGGGTGGAAATGGTGGTTTTAAATAGCAGTGGTTTGAATAAAATAGGGATGCGGGAACTTGGGACAGTTCTTTTTTAAACATAGGAGTAATAGCAGAGATGGGTACGACACAGAAGCGAATACCAAAAAGTTAACACAACAGAGCCTTTCCAATCTTCCTTCTTGTTGTATGCAAACCTTCTTTAAAGGGCCACATCTCCTGCTCTTTACTCAAAGCTCTGCCATTTTTTAAAATCTCTCCGTTTCTCTCCACAACCAGACTGTTTAAATCAGTCACTTCCCCGCTTCCAGTGTCTCTCCCTTTTTGCTATACTCAAAACTTCTCCTTCTTCTATTCCTGCCTCACGTTACGAGATAAAGGATGCAGAGACCTCAAACATTCCAACTGTATTAAGGTACTTTACTCAAACCTTGGCCATTGCTTAAAACTGCCATTTTCCTTTCAGCTCTATTTCTGTTCTAAACTGCTTTTCTCCTCACCATCACCAGGCCATTGGTGGTGTTGGGCAGCCTGTCTTCTCTTTGGCTCCCCTATACTGCTCCTACTTCATGCAAATCCAGGACTGTGATGCAATACTGCAAATGGCGGCTGCATGACGACAGGCATACAATTTTATGTATATAGCAAGAAATGTCAGGTATGTTTTGTGCATTTAAATGCACACCTGAGGGACAGAGTACAGCTGTGTTTTAAATGGAATATGTGCTAGGGTGTTTATTCATATATGAATCTTCATCCATCCCCTATATGGAAGTGTATTGGGGTACACCTTCCATTGAAACAATACAATGTGGAGAAGACTGAATCTGCAGTCCGATATGCATTTGGATGTGCATCCAATTTATGAGTGCAGTTCTAACTATACAAACTGCATACCATACAAACCATTGGTCCATTTCCCTCACTACCATGTAATTGGACTGACAGTGATGTTCTGGGGCAACACTGCTATCTCAGAACCTTTTAAATGAAATGCTAAGAACTAAATGTAGGATCTTGTGGTTACAAGATCGGCGGCCGCCGAGACCACATAACACCGGTCTTGAAAGACCTACATTGGCTCCCAGTACGTTTCTGAGCACAATTCAAAGTGCTGGTGTTGACCTTTAAAGCCCTAAACGGCCTCGGCCCAGTATACCTGAAGGAGCGTCTCCACCCCCATCGTTCTGCCCGGACGCTGAGGTCCAGCGCCGAGGGCCTTCTGGCAGTTCCCTCATTGTGAGAAGCAAAGCTACAGGGAACCAGGCAGAGGGCCTTCTCAGTAGTGGCGCCTGCCCTGTGGAACGCCCTCCCATCAGATGTCAAAGCGATAAATAACTACCTGACATTTAGAAGACATCTTAAGGCAGCCCTGTTCAGGGAAGTTTTTAATCTGTGATATTTTACTGTATTTTTGGTTTCTATGGAAGCCGCCCAGAGTGGCTGGGGAAACCCAGCCAGATGGGCGGGGTACAAATAATAATAATTTATTATTATTATTGTTATTATTATTATTATTACAAAGCAAGTACACCACACCTGAGCTACAGCCCCTTCTCCACTGTCAACTTGAATTAATGTACAGGTGTGAATGCCCTCTGAGGCTCAAGCCAACCGGCAATGCAATTCATTTCTTTCAATGGTATATCCAAGCTGGAGCTCAACTTTCAATAAATAAAAATTCTCCTTGGCAGGAAGATTCCAACTACCCATTTCAGCCAAGCAAAAATGAACTGCTCTGATTTTCTTTAGCCTTCCCTTGTAGTTATAAGGCCCACAGAAGAGCAGGCCTTTAAGAGTTGGGTTTTGGGTACAGTATGCCAACTCTAGCAAAAACAAAAGCACCCACATACATTTAAAGACTACAGTGGTTTATTCGGAGGCTGGGGGATCTCAAGCAGATTCCAGATGGACACACGTCATATCAGTAAATAAAAGAGACAGAGAAGAAAATCCAAGAATTAAAATGAAGTGGGCAGGGAGGCCATGAACAGAGAGATAATGCTGGGCCAGTTGTTAAAGGGAGAAAAATAAAGTCAACTTCAGAATCCAAGGACCATCCTACTATCACGAAAACAGCATGCTGGAGAGTCAGGTATATCACCAAGTGTCTCAGAATATATAGGGTTTACAAGAGCAAAAAGAGAGAAACACTATCCTCTCGACAGGCTCATGAGGAGGATGGGTTGCGATTACACACAAGTAACAGACCGCCACTTTCTGAGACTGGGGCTCAGCTTCTATTCAGCATGGAGGAGAATGATGTTGTGCTAATGGTTCGACTGCCTTCCATTCATCCAAACCGATGTTGCAAAACAGTCTCAGTGCAGGTGCCAGCAGCTGCAGTGGTATGTGGGAGAAGCACATGGGCACGCAGCAGTCCGCGGCTTAGTCATTTTGCTTCTCTGGAGCAAAGGCATTTGGTTTCTGTGCAAAGGTTTCCGCAACCAGCAGTGGGAAAACCAGGGAAGCGTCGGCATAAACCTGTCAAGAGAAGAATACCAAAGAGTGCCTCTCCTCAAGAGCTTTTCATTTGTTTACTCTAAAACTCACTGGTCTTGCCGATGGCAAGTTCCATGTCCCACCCCTGCCAATACTATGATCTGTCAGTCCCCTCCTTTCCCCCACATGTACCTTGACAGGCTTGGCATCCATGCGGATCTTCCCCCAGGAAACTGCTTCGTCAGGCCGAGCTCCTGAGTCTGAGCCATCAAACTCCTGTGCCGTGTTGACGTATACAGAAAAGTCAGCACCGTTTCTCTGAGGAGGTACAATAATCGCTGACATCAGGCATATGGAGCAGAATTGGCTCAGTGGTAACCAAAGGTCTGCTTGCACAGCAAATCTGATACCAAATACAACTGTTCCACATATGGACTTGGAGATAAGCGCAGATGAATATACAAAACTATCTTATATCGATTTAAGACAAGTGGTCCGTTTATTGATCTTTTAATTGCAATTGGAGGGGGGAGAGGAAGTGGAAACTGGGATACAAAGCATATCAATTTAAGATGAGTGGTCCAATTAGCACAAAAGCACTATGAGATTTCATACAGAGTTCTTTCCTCGTGGCCAAGATCCTTTTAAAGAGATGGCAGGAACCGAACCTGAGATTTTCTGTGTGCAAAATGTGTACTCATTCACTGAAATATGGGCTCCCTTCCCCCAAATATCAGCAACTTCCAGGGCTCAGCCTAGGAGGCTCTTGAAAGCTGCATGGGGTGGGGTGCTTTGGGGTGAACCACTGAAGGCTCAATAGGTTCAATGAGCCTATATAGCTTGGCAGGACTTATGCAGCATATGAATTCATTGCTGACCGCTGGCCATGTCAGCTGAGGCTAATGGAAGTTCAACAGCATCTAGAAATAGCTCCCCATGCCCAAAGCCAGCAAGCAAGCAGCAGCATCATGCCATCTCAACCCATGAATCTTTGTTCTACAAATGCATCCCATGCTTTTGCAACATCTTCCACCCCAAACAAACCCTGCCTTTCTGCACTGTGCATTTGTTCCTACTGCACAATCTGCCTCACCATGAGGTTGGCGTTAGCAATGTGGTGCTTGACAAGTCCTCCTCCCAAGATGATCATTCCTGTTTTCCGGGCAAATATGGCCTGCGTATTGATGAGCCTCAGATCTTAGAGAGAGAGTTTAAATATTAGACAAGCAGCACAGTAAACAGCGTCATACTTTGGGGGTTGGTAGACCCAGAATGTCTGGTACACAGCATACAGATTCCACTAGCTGTCTCCCTTCCTCTGAAAGTAGAAACCAGTGGTAGGTACATAACAGAAACCATGGAGAGACTTACTTATGTTGCACAAATCTCAGCTCACCTTCCACAATGTCCAGCACAAGGCCTGGTTTCTTATAGGAGTGGAAGAAAATCATGTCCCCCAGGGAACCATCAGTCAACGCTGGACTCAGTACAGGGATGCTGTTCTGCCAGGAACACAATTAGCATTATAAGCGGAAGTGGGTATTTCATATGGCAGAGTTTAACGTATCTTGGAAGGGAGGGCAGAGCGTGGGAGTGGGAGACAGACTTGAAATGCAGAAAAGTAGTAAATGCACAACACAGAACTATGCCTTAATGGTTGGATGGTAGGGGTCAAGGCTACCAGCTGGGAAATGAATGGTAATACGAAGCCAGAAAAATAATAGGCTATGCCATATCACATACATAGGACAGACCCTCAGATGATTGAAGAGTGGAAGGCAGGCATCCCATCAGGAAGTCACAAACAAGCAGCATTTCAGCCAGATTACTGGACGCTAATCTTAACGAAAGGCGAGATATGGAACTTAAAACACAGAAGACTTCCTCAGCCTACCTTTTGTGCCCAGTAATAGACAGATTCGGGATTGTTGATTTCCTTGCCAAGCCGAGCAATGAACTTTGATGGAGTCCACTTCACCCCCTGAAAAGCAGGGAGACAGACCACAACTTCAGACTATGCCAACTTCTCCCCAGATTGGTGGACAAGCTAAGATCCGGGGTGAACCTGCACAGTCTTAATACGTGCGATTTCAAAGAAAAAGAAAAGAAAAATCCTCTATGTGGGAGCAAATAAGAAACCCAACAATACTGGCAGGGGGAAAAAATGGCCTTGAGATCACAAACTAGATAGAATAAGACATGTCTCCGTTGCTGTTTCATCCTCTTCCATGCTGGGAGTTTTCCTTTTCCAAAGATGAGGCCAGAACTCACGGCAGACAGCTCTCAAGTGTCTATTGCAATTACCACGTTGGGGGTATACATGGGGGGTGGAGAAAGAATAATAGCACAAAGGCACACCATTCCTAACATTTCAGCTCTCACCTCTGTGTCCTGCTCTGTCACCATCTGGTCCAGGATTGGCATCAGCCAGTCTTCAAACTTGCAGTAATTGTCATTGGGCACCAGCAGATTCCCAATCCTGGAGGAGAGGAGGACACAGCTGGGAAGTAAAGCCTGGCTAGGGACTTTGCCCCTACCTTGCTCCTTCCTCCCGCAGAAGTTAAAACATACAGTCAATCCCCTCCCTGCAGCAGAGTATGAGACTGGTTGGATCATACAAACCAGAGGAAACCCAGGAGGGGTCAATTTCTTTGGTCACAAAAAAAGTCACCCATCTTGTTTTCCAATGGTGGCCATCAGATCATCAGCCCTCCCCACTACAAGTAAAGGTAAAGGATGGTTAAGTCCAGTCAAAAGCAACTATGGGGTTGTGGCGCTCATGTCGCTTTCAGCCCGAGGGAGCCGGTGATTGTCCACAGACAGCTTTCCACGTCATGTGGCCAGCATGACTAAACCGCTTCTGGCGCAACAGAACACTGTGATGGAAACCAGAGCGCACGGAAATGCTGTTTACCTTCCCGCCACAGTGGTACCTATTTATCTACTTGCACTGGTGTGCTTTCAAACTGCTAGGTTGGCAGGAGCTGGGACAGAGCAAGGGGAGCTCACCCCGTCGCAGGGATTCAAACCACCAACCTTCTGATCGGCAAGCCCAAGAGGCTCAGTGGTTTAGACAACAGCGCCACCCGCACCCGTCCCCTCCCCACTACCCCTGCTGGTACCTGTTAATCCCACTCTGTCGTAGTTCCTTTCCACGCAAGCTGAAGTCTCCAACGTAAGTGGGTGCCAAGCATTTGATGAGATCTTCTTCCACACCACCTGCTGTGGTCACCAGCACATCCACCTACACAAACCAAAGAATGTGGGCTATAGTGCTTGCTAAGACTTGCAGCTATGAGCATCCTTTAGACCCGAGTTCTGTAAAGGGATTAATCCATCCTTAAGTCATGAAGCATCAGTAGCCAGTATCTCTTTCCCATAAACGGAGGTAGTTCCTTTAAAGTTCTCTCCAGCCCATTAGAAGACGGCATACAATGTTTATCATGAGAACATACGAGGGAGACAAGAATGATATTGGTGTAGAACACCAGGGATTCTTCTCTACCCTTTCACAGCCACATAACTGAAAAGGAAGATTTTTCCTTGATATACAGAAGGAGGAAACACCTCCCAGGTTTGGACAATACCATGTTGTGTTGCACCAGAAAGCGGATGGTCTCACGGACACCTGAGCTGATGAGGTTGGAAGTGAAGCCCAAGAAGATTGTACAGCCTGTTAGGTGGCGGGAACAGGGATTCAAGTCGGCATGGTTCCCTTCATCCTCGGCCAGTGGCGTCAGCTTCGCTTCTATCTGCAAGGAAGAACCCAACTATCTGAATCAAGCTTCAGCACAACAGCACAATGCAGGGATTGAACTAAATGGCAGCACCACCAAGTTTAGCATATCATCACCCTAAATAGCTAAGTACAAACAGCAAGAAGTTTGCTAGTGACATATGAAGGAAGCAAAACAAAAACAAAAACTGGTGAATGGTTGTAGAGAACTGAGGGAAGCATCAATGCACAAAATATGCAGATTTGGAGAAAAATACTGGTTTTGCCACTTTATCTTCAAATCAGAAAACGTGATAATCAGAAAGGGAGGTAAATGTAAACTGCCGTTTTTGACGTCACTGAAGGTATTGACTGTGTGTTCTCAATCCATGCAATCAAAGTAGGACTTTCCTATCAATCAATGTAGATGTTTATGAACATCATACCAGCTCAGACTTATAAAATACTGTTCACACCCAAGGCTTAGAGCTAATAGGACTATGGAATATTGCTGGGAAAGGGTAAAAAAAAGTAGCCAACTTCAGTGTTGGCTAACTCTTAGCACAGTATGTGTAGATGGGTGTTGACCGGTGTCAGAGAAGAATGCTGTGATGTACACAAGAGCGTACATGCAGGAATTTATAGAGGCCTCTACGTGCTGCAGCAAAGCAGCAAGCTAACTCCACAGTTATGAGATCCAGCCCAATTTCCCTCCTTCCCACCTGATCTAACACAGTTCTCACCATTGGGACTCATCCTGGCTACTCACCATGCGGTTGATCTCGTTCACAGCCTGCCCAAAGCTGGTAGCCTGGAAACCTGTGGTGAGGTAAGACTGGAGCAAGGCATGATAGTCTAATCCACGGTCAAAGTCATAGCCATGCACTGTCAAGCTCCCCTCAGGTAGTCCCTCACTGGGCTTCAGCACAGCAGCCACTGCCCCAGCAGGTAGGTCGCCTGCCACATTCTCCATCAGGTGAACACTGGGGAGGCTGGCGCCCTAGGACAAAGATCATTAATTAAGAAGACTCCTGGAAAAGCATGCTTTCAAAACTTTTTGCCATGTGAGTAGTACAGAATCTTAGTGATAAAGTACCTCCCAGATTTCTACCCTTCCAAAAAGGGAAACGCAAGTGCTAGAAACTGAGATATGAAAGCTGGGAGCTAAATGGCACCTTAAACCTAGGTTATGGGCACAAAAATAGAATGTCTAGGCACGTTTTTTAATAACAAGGATACAAAGTTGAAAATGCATTTACTGCAGCTAAAATATTATGCTCATTTTTCACATGGCCTAGTCCTTTCCCCGCCCACCCCCCTAATATTCTTAAAATGATCTCTTCTCCTGTCTTCAGAGAGTAGCTGGAAGCGGGAGGCAGAAAAAAGATCCTCCTTTCCTTCCACTCTGCAGTCTTAATCCGAAATCTCAGGTGCACTACTGCGCCCAGAGCTCAGAAACTTCTTGCGCTAATGAAATTCCCTGTCGCAAAATGCCTGTAGAACAATGGGAGTTTCAGACGCTGTGGAAACAGCAATTTGCACCGTCTGTCAACTTCAAGTACTCTGGAAAGGCTCGTTCCCCACACAACCGCGATGAAGAACGTCCCTGAACAATTCTTCCCAGTTGAGCAAAAATGCAGACAGCGGTTCAAATTCTTGGCCAGCAGCGGCAGGACATGATGTAAGACCACAACCAGCGCTGCAACCCCAACCACAGTGCTCATGCTGACAATGATATGGTGCCATTGTTAATCCTTACTGCATTGCAGGGACTTGGGTTATATGACCTTCCAACATTTTGACTTCACCCCCAAAGGTGCACTCCTTTATTGTCAGAGGGATGCCAACTAATGCTGAATTATTATTATTATTAGATGACAAAGAATTAATTAATTTATTATTATTAAATGACGAAGAATTAATTAATTAATTAATTAATTATTATTAAATTATGAAGAATTATTATTATTAAATGATGAATAGTAATTATTATTACTTTATTGCATTGGAGGGGGCTGGTCTAGATGATCCCTGGGATGCATTCAACAGATGCACTCAAAGCAGGAGGGAAAAATAAATGCAAATAAGCACTTTCCCGGCCCCGCCCCTCGCCCCGCCCACAGCGCAGTATTGCCCCGCCCACGCCGCTTTGGCAAACCGGGCTCCCGAAGCGTCTGCCTCGTCTGCGGCAACGCGCGCATGCGCCTGGGGGCGGGAGCGCGAGGCGGGGCTCACCTGCGACCTGAAGTGGTACAGCCCGGAATTCTGCCGCCGCCGCCTCCTGCATAATGCCCAGGGTCGGTTCCAAATATTACGGAGGGGGGGGGAAATGTGTGGGTGAGAGAAAAAGGGAAAGACAGGGAACTGAAAGGGCTCCTGTCACCACAGGGTAGGTTTGCTTAGCGCCATGTTCCCCGGTCAGGAGGAGTATTGAAGGCTCTCCTCGCCGGCTTGCGAGGAGGCCCCTTCTGCCCCTCACGCGGCGGCGGCGGGGCCGGGAGCGGAACAGCGCGCGAAGGGAACGGCGGCCTTACCTCATAGAGCCGGGCCCGACCAGCCAATGGCCTCCTCTCGCTCCCCTCGCTGGTTCTACGCAGGCGCTCTGCTCTCCGCCTCACCGAGATGCCGCGGGAAGCGCCTCATGGCGGCGCAAGGGAGCAGAAGGGGTTAAACGCCAGCGACGGGAGGGAGGGAGGGGGAGGTGCTCGCGCGGCTCGGCGTTTCTTTCCTTCTTGCTCCTTTAAGGAAGTGGGCGGGGTTTCGGGGGAGAAAAATCGGAAAGCGCAGGCGCAGCGCTGCGTCGGCGGTTAGCTTCAAGTAAGGGCGGAAGTGGTATGGGCTGCATAGAGATACCTGCGCATCTGAGAAGGTGCAGGCAGTGCGTGGGTCCCCGGGGGGCGGGGAGGCAAGGGAAGGGTCCAACCCCCTGCAAAGCAGGAATCTTACGCCCAACGTATTCCCCCTTCCAAGTTTATGCTGTTGCATACAGATTTCCCTTTATGGAACAAAATTTTCCCATGGTGACTGTGGCGTAGCGTCCTTTCACTCAGCTGTGAAGCTCAGTGGGTGGGTGATTTTAGCCCATTTTCTTCTTCTGGACAAATGAACACTAGAGTTGCATGTACGATGACCTTAAAACATATGCTGTGTGCATTAAAAAAAAACCAAAAACTGGTGGTCCAAAAACAGCCTGTGCAAACAGTCACCACAGAACAACTTAAGTGCAACTCCTCATGCTTCAAACAGAAATACCATCTCAGACTGAAGTGAACTGGGGGCGGGGAGGAGCCTTGTGACACCTTAAAATTGTGTGTGTTTGTGTGTGTAAAAGCTAAGGTAAAGGACCCCTGGACAATTAAATCCAGTCAAAGGTGACTATGGGGTGCGGCACTCATCTCGCTTTCAGGCTGAGGGAGCTGGCATTTGTCACACAAACACACAAATCATGGAACTGTAGAGCTGGAATGGACATAGTCAAAACCCCTGCAATGCAGGGATCTTTTTGCCCAACATTGAGCTTGAACCCAGGACCCCGAGATTAAGGTTCTTCTCCATTGGAGGCTTTCAAACGGAGATTGGGTGGCCATTTGTCATGGATGCTTTGGTTTGGATTTCTGCATTGCAGGGAGGTCAGACTACTTCCTTGTCTACATCCAAGTCAGTCATTTTCATGTGCAGATTTCCCTTGCTATAGAATGACTGTGTTTCTCAGAGGGGGCTAATTCTCAGAGGACAATTCTGTATACAACAGCATAAATTTGGAAATATGTTGGGCATAAGATTCCTGCTTTGCAGGGGGTTGGACTAGATGACCCTTGGGGACCCCTTACAACTCTGTAGTTCTAAGAGCCTCATGCTCTCTACTGACCGAGCTGCCCTACCATTTTATATTACAATTAACCAGTGTTTTTTCTGGGAGGGGCGCAGGGGTACGCACAGCTAAATGTCTTGTGAATCTTTGTACTTTTGTCCATTTACTGTATTTATTTTTCCCGATTTCAACTACAAAATGGTGATTTTTTTTGAGTCAAAATGAGAGTATCCCTAAACATTTTTTTTAGAAAAAAAGCACTGCAATTAACGAACAAAATCCTTTCCACCTGCCCTTTAACTCCAGTTCTCCAAGGAGATAGGTCCTTCCCTTGCTCCCCCCCGCCACCGCAATCCACACACTGCCTGCACCTTCTCAGATGCCCGTGGAAGTCAAAGATATCTCTACGCCTGTACTTTCCGATTTTCTCCCCCCAAACCCCCACTTCCTTAAAGGAGGAAAAAAAGATGGCCTGTCCAGCTAGGACTGAGGAAATAAACAACATTCAATCTATACCACAATGTATAGGGAGAGGTAAGAGACTCATAAACTTACAGGGGATACTCCACTCACAGAAAAAAAGATAACTAATGTGGGCACTTACGTCAGCCTTCTTAAGACCAAACTAAACATGCTCTCTTCCCCACAATGCCACAGTGTTAATGAAAATGGCCTCCTGTGTCTATTATTATTATTATTATTATTGGTTGGTTAACATTTGTGTAATATTAATTTTGCCCTCATAACTTGTTGCTCTGATTTAGCATCTTACCCTGGAGAACTTACCTCTCACTTTTTGGACATCTTGCTGCGGTTTCTATTTGATGCTGGACTCAGCAGCTGAAGTTCGAAACCGTCATCTGTGTTTAGTGCCTACCTTTTTGGTGTTTGGGAAATAAAACATAAGGACATAATTATTGTGTGCATACCATGTTAGGGTCAGCACTTCCTGGTGCAGCCAGAATGAGATTGTGATCTAGGGTTCTTAGAGACTCAATATCTTCAGGTAGTATTCACTTACTGGCAATGTTCAGGTTGTGCAGTTATATTTAATTGAGAAGTCTTGCTCAACAAGCCTGCTTTCCCCAAACACCAGACTTTGTGCAATAAAGGAAGTGGTGAGAAAATGTACTGGAATGTGTGGGATAACATTTCATTTGGCTCAAGGTCATCTTACTTACCCTCAAACCATCAGAAAGAATGTTCATTAAATAGCCAACATTGTCTAATCTGCCTGCAAGCAAATGCTCAAATATGTTGTCTGGAAGCACCTCAGTCAAAAGGAGCTGGGTCCTGTGTATGGACCTGGTTCTTGTACCAGCGCTATGTTGGCACACATATTTTGCCTTTCTCTGACCCGCCCCCCCCCTTGCCAGCATGACTGACAGGGCTTTGACTGTGTTAAGCCCCAGTGCAGTGTGGATTGCACCTTCAGTGTCCAGGATGTTATCATTCTTTTCCTCCAGGATCAAAACTCTATACTTTTGTGTCAGGGCTTCCCCTAGACGCGGGTGGCGCTGTGGGTTAAACCACTGTGCCGCTTGGGCTTGCCGATCGAAAGGTCAGCGGTTCGAATCCCTGTGACGGTGTGAGCTCCCGTTGTTTGGTCCCAGCTCCTGCCAACCTAGCAGTTCGAAAGCACGTCAAAGTGCAAGTAGATAAATAGGTACCGCCCCGGCAGGTAGGTAAACGGCATTTCCGTGAACTGCTCTGGTTTCGCCAGAAGCAGCTTAGTCATGCTGGCCACATGACCCGGAAAAAATGTCTGCGGAAGCGGACAAACGCCGGCTCCCTCGGCCTGTAAAGTGAGATGAGCACCACAACCCCAGAGTCATTCGCAACTGGACTTAATTGTCAGGGGTACCTTTACCTTTACCTTTACCCTATACATAAGCAGTGCTTAGTAAGCAGTGCTTTTTTAATGCTTTCTTAACCATAATTGCATCCATACATCCAAGACATATTATCTATAAATCAAACTTATCAGAACAAAATTCCAACAACAGAATGTAAGTCTTCCTAGTATAAATTTAGTACGTAATTTTGCCTTTCTGTCCTCGTCTTTCCACTCTAGTAAACCTATTGCCTTAACTTATCAACATATTAATAATAATAATAATAATAATAATAATAATATTAAGCAGTGCTTTTTTGGCATGGAATTACATGGCGAGTACTCATATCTCAATGATGGGTACCAGCACAAAATGGCTACCCTGCATCTGTGAGCACCACCAGACACAAAAGCACTGTTAGTAAAAGGGAAGTTTATTCTTAATAAATTTGTCTGTTGCCCTTCTTCCCTGTTTTGAAAAATATGTGCAGAAGTGGTTTGCAGCTTTTATCTCATCCCGACAGCAATTCTTTATCTAGGGGAAAGAGATGAGGCAATGGAAAAAGCTGCCACCAGCAACCCTTCCTCCTTAAAGCTAGGAGGCAACTGTAGATTGAGAGAGGAACTCGGGTAATGAATGTGTGATATATACCTGTTGGGAATTGTCACATTGGAGAGCCAGGGTTACTGTCACCTTGTCAGCTTCGTTTATCCGTCAGCATGCTCAATTCATTTCTGCGTGTGCTGCCCATCTTCATAATTTGGTTCATGTATGTGATGTAAGGAGGCTACAAAACATTAATGCAACAATAAATCAGTATTGAAAATGCCACTGCACTTTCTCCTTACATGAGAAAAGCCCGCAGGCAATATGTGCATCCCACTTGCTTTCAGGCCCATTAGAAGAAACAGTTCTCCCACCTGGCAAATAATGTATTTTTCTCTGCATTCAACAAATTATGGAATTTGCACCTCTGTAAAAGAACAAATAGGATGTGATATGAATAGCAGGATATGGGGATATAGATATAGATATAGATATAGTGTTTTGCTTTTAGTTTATATCAACACAACAAACACAACTATAGCAACAAAGAAGCAAACTAAAACAAAGCAAAAATGGGGCATTCATAAGTTTTGCTCTTTTTCAGTTTACAGGGGTGTGCTAATACCTTTTCATTTAGTAAGAGGTAAAGTTCCATTTAGGCTAGCTCTAAGAAGATTAGAAACTTGTAGTAGGTTGGGGGGCTGTTAATATAAGAGATCACCGACAATTAAAGTTTACCTTGAGAGTCATCTGTTACTACTTAGGTGGCACTTATTAAAAATAATTTGCTGTGCTTTACACCCCTAGGTGGGTGGGGTTTTTTAATCATCTAATCAATGTTGCACAGTAATAGAAGATCTAACCACTTCTACCCCATGAAAGGGGTTCCCTGCTAACATGTCCAAAAATATATTCTGCTTCTCTCCTGAGAAAGCAAACGGGTTGCCATTAACTCTAAGGGTCATATCCACAGGTTGAAAAAAAAAGAAAAAGATGAATGAAAGTGACGGAAAACTTTTACAAATACAACCGTATTTTCAGATCTTGGGCGGGGGGGGGGGGACCCTTTTCTACAATCCCTTGTTGACATGTGGTGCTGGGAATGATATAAGGATTGGATAATTTAGGTGGGGTTGGAGAACAGAAAGCCAGGGCATCCTTTTGGGTTTGCAAAGTGTTGGGCCGGACACAGGCAGAAGTGGAATTGGAGGAAAGTATTTTTATTGCCTCATTGGCTCGATCTGAGAACCAATGTGGTACAGTGGTTAGATTCTTGGGTTGGGGAAGAAACTTGTGTCCAAATCTCTACTCAACCACAAATCGTAGACCAACCAGCCATTATTTCTCAGCTTAGCATTATCTCAAAGGACTGTTGTGAGAGGGAAAATTGAACTATATATGCCAGCGTTTGCCAGCCTTTTGGGACCCCTGGGTCCAAACTGGGGGGAAACATGGGCACCACACTCAAATAACAACCAATCACAAACCATAACCTATTTTGATGGCTACAATAAAATGCTTCTTTCAAGCCAAACTTCAGCAGTGAGAGGTGACCTTATGGGTGCCAGGGAAGAGCTTTGCGGGCATACGGGCACCTGCGGGTAGCATGTTGGCAACCCTTGATTCAGTCCACCCTGAGCCCTTTGGAGGAAAGATAGGATAAAACCTGACATTTGTTAATGATATACTTTTAAAAAGCTAATTGGACTCTACTGTGTAAATTGGACTCAACTGTGTAGCCCCCAAGGTTTCAGCTGTTGCCTTGGTGGTCAGCAGCCTAGTAGCCAGTTTCTAAGATGAGTTTTGCTGATGCTCAAGCCTGCCTGGAAGCTGCACCAACTGACTGCCATCTTGTGAAAAGTTTTCACAAGATGCTAAGAAGAGTAGGGGGCTGGCGTCCACTTCCGCCTGCAGAGAAGGACTTGGGTTCACTGCTCAAGAGCAGAACCCAGTCGCTGTGTCACCAACAGGTCCCTGAAGAGCTCTGTGGAACCATCCCTGCCATGGCAACCATGTAAACATTTGCAGTAGTAGCACTGCATGTGTTTTAGATGCAAAAAATTAATAATGCTATCGTTGCCAGAATAAATTATTGAGGTAGAGAGAGGCTCTGTCTAACCTTTTGTTTTTCACATGAGGGCTCTTCACACAAAGAGCTCAAATGCGTAAACACAGGGTGGCGAAGTCGCTGTTTGTGCTCTCCAGAAAAAATAAACCTAGGAGTTGTCTCTTTGCAAATAGGCGGAGGAGGTGGATGGAATGGGGGCCAGAAAGGGCTAGGAACAGAAAATTACTATGTCTAAAGTAAGACAGTATCTGTGTTTTATCCACAGTATTTGCTTTTTAAAAACCCTGTAATTCTCTAGACTGGTTGGTATATAATAGTATGCCCCCTCCCCCCCCGATTATCTTCCCTCTTTCTACAGCCACCAACAGTGAGAAATAGGTTTTTAGGGTTTCCTTTTATGATAAAAGAAAAAGAGGACAGGAGCCATTTGAGGAAACCAATTCCCCTCCCCTGTGTTTCAGACTTCCTGATTTTGCCCGAAGAGCACCTTTATCTCTGGCCAGTGCCTAGGTTCTACACACTGAATGGCTATTGTTAGACGTTTAAATTTAATTGAACTTGGGTACTACATATCTATAGTGCCAGAAGCACAAATCTTTCCTCCTCATTTTCTCTCCAAATGTGCCAGGTTGTTGTACGCTGATAACATTTCTATAGTTATTATGGAGCAAAGAAAATAATTGCCACAAATGATCCTAAAAATGTGCTACTTTTCATGTTTTAACCTTAAATTAATTTTGCCTTCCTGTTTCCTGTGCGCACGCCGACATAGCTGGCCTTGCCTCTTCTAAAATCCAAAATGGCACTCCTTAGGGTAAAGAATGGCATATGGCGTTTAATTCCTAAAATGATGTGAATTGGGGTATCTCTCTCACTCACACATAAAGCCACACACATCTCTTCCTTTCTCTGTCATAGTTCACATTGTCTCTCACAAAGCACAAATAATAACTTCTCTTTCTGTCCAACTGCACCTTTTTCAAGCACACCCCCTCCATGGGTGAAGGAAGTGCTTGTCACCTCCCCTTTCATTTCATTTATTTTTTAATATTCCCCCACCCCAATCAAACTGCAAAATGCATGAAGGCCACCAACCTATTGCCTCCCTGCCTTAGTCTATTTACTCTCCCCAGATCATATCCCTTACTGGTTTTCCTCTGCAGAGTACTTTCGCCTTGCTGGAATGTAACTTTGAACTGTGATAGTGCCCCTTTGGGAGAAGGATGGAGGTGTGTTAGTGTAGAAACCTCTGACTACGGAGTGGCTGGAGTGTAGCCTGTTGTACAGAGTTGCACCCATTGCTCCTCCCTAAGTGGTTGGCATCCATTTGTCTCGGGCGGCAACAAAGAAATGCACTTTTCGAGGTGAAGTCAAATTGTTGGGAGGTTACAGTGCCTGCTGTGGTTGTAGAGACTGATACAGGAGAGACATGTTTTGTTGCAGCTGGGCCAGATGAAGGTGTCCAGTTGGTCTGCTGTAGATGCGTCATGGGGTTTCTTCTCTCTGCGCTCCTCCCAGCGGTCATTCCTCCTCTGGTCATTGCTATGGATGCACGACCTGACTGTCAGTCTCTAGGCACTGCGGTTGTCTTCAGTGGATTTCAACATGGCAAGGTTGGTGTTGCCAGCCTTAATAAAAGTAATAGTAATAATTCTATACTGCCCATCAACTGAGAAGAGTTTGGATTTGATATCCCGCCTTTCACTCCCCTTAAGGAGTCTCAAAGCGGCTAACATTCTCCTTTCCCTTCCTCTCCCACAACAAACACTCTGTGAGGTGAGTGGGGCTGAGGGACTTCAGAGAAGTGTGACTGGCCCAAGGTCACTCAGCAGCTGCATGTGGAGGAGCAGGGACACAAACCCAGTTCACCTGATTACGAGTCCACTGCTCTTAACCACTACACCACACTGGCTCTTGTTTTATAATATAAAAACACAAAAATGCATAGCATAGTAACGAAAAGTTAAAAGGCCATAGATTGATAATTCACCAACAGCCTTGGAGAAGAGGTATGTTTTTGCTTGGTGCCTATAGATATGTAAGGTAGACTCCCTTTGTCTATGTCTACCTTTGTCTACCTTACCATATGTAAGGTTGAGTCTCCCTTTTGCCTCTGGCCCCATCTACCTCTGGCATGCATCCCCAGTTTGGTTCCCCACAAAGGAATGTGGTCTTTTGAGTTGAACAAGTTTCCCCACCCCAGAGCATAATGGTGGGGAAACTTGTTCAACTCAAAGACCACATTCCTCCCTCAATGCAATTTACGATGAGCCTTCAACATGTTTGTGGGTCTGAATGTAGAAACAGAAGACATCTTTAAAAAATACTGCTTCAAGCATCAGCAACCATAAAGCCATAAGTGTTTAGTGAGGCAACATATGCAGGGAGCGAGCAAAGCTAAAGGCAGGTGGTACAAAGAGAAACATACAGGGTAGGGCGGGGTGATGATAAAACAGAAACCTTGGAGTTCTGCATTGACAATTTTTACTTCATCTGCTCCTGTTTTGCAGAGTTTTATTTTAAAATATTTATCCGGACTGTAATTTGCTTTTGTTGGGTTTCTCATATTGTCCAGTTGTAATCAGGTATAAGAAAAATAAATAGCTTGGGGAAGACATCTAATGCTTTTTAAGGACCTCCACAATATATTATTGTGTAATAAATATCAAATTATGATCCTCTGCCTGAGTGCCTCTTATTCTTTGAACTTTAACATGTGGTCAGGGTTGCAAACCAGCTATATCCTTTACTATATATCAAGAACAGTGAAATTTATTCCTCCTCTTGCTACCCAGCTTCATTGCATTCAAAGTGGGAACATGTTCAGTTATACCAATAATAATTCGTCTACCCCACCTATTGCAGTTTAATCGTAACACATGCAGTTTAATCGGAACATAGCTGTCAACCGTCCCTTATTTGGCGGGAAAGTCCTTTATCCCAGCGCCATGTCCTGCTGCTGTCACTTATTGATAATGTCCCTTAAATTTCCCGGGCTTCAAAGGAAGCAGCTCCTCTCCCTCCCTCCCTGCCAGCCAGGGAGGAGGGAGGCTCCAACTGTGTTGCTTGGCTGCGTTGCTCACCCAATAAGGAGTCTAAGAACGACTGAGGGGAGGTGGAGCTTGCATGCCTTGTGCCGATCAAATCGGCCTCGTTGCCTGGGGACTCGACTTTGCTCAGCGCTTCCCAGCGGAGAGGTGACGGTGGTTTTCCTTGCTGCATCCCCTTTGCCGGGTTGCTGCGCTGTGGGAACCACCGCTTGAGGCTTCATTTGGCTGCTGGCTGGGCTTTCTGCCTTTGGCTCGGAGGGGCTCAGAAGTTGAACATATCTGTGCTCTGAAAATCCCTTATTTTGGCTGCTGATCTCTTATTTTCGAGGCTGCTGGTCCCTTATTTTCAAATCTGTAAGTTGACAGCTATGGATTGGAATGATACCATAAAGGCTGGATCTAGACACATCAAAAATGTGTTTCAGGAAAACGTAAACTTTAATATGGGAAATCACGTTGATGAAAGACGGGGCTCCACAGCACCATCTGGTGCCACAGTGTTAGAATGCATATAAAACACTTTTTCTTTACTAAAATAGCTGAGTCCCAAGACTACCTTTACTGGCACTGCTATGTACAAAGGATGTAACAAGATTGAGGTTATTACTGTGTCTTCAGACAATTTGGTTAAATTCTAAGCAGTTTAGAATTGGGTGTGAAGGTTGTGTGAAATAAAACATTTTATTTTGCAGCTGAAAGCATTTGATGGTTAACGAATTTATCTTTAAAAATTCGGAATGGACAAGCTCTTTATTATTGTTGAAATTTCAAGGCTTGATCAAGAGCTATGATCAGATGAGAAAGTAATTGTATTCTTATTCTGCATGTAATACACAGAGGTGACAATGGACTGTAGATCATTTATATGTATGTATTATTGTGGTTTTTTCCCTATGAAAATTGTAGTATTAAGAAAAGTCTACCTACTCTATAGAGATGCTTTTATGGAATGGGTTTTACTTCTTTTGGCAAGCTTAGCAATATTGGGAGCGTTATTTGCAATATGTTTCTGTGATCAAGGAAGTAATGCAAGGGAATTATTTTATTTATCAAGACTAAAAGGCACATTTCACTTTATGAAGCCATAAACAGCTTGGGGCCAAGTACCTTAAAGAAAAACTGTATCAGACCCTACTGTTGGTAGGTGAGGCCTTGGTACTACTGTCACCATGAACTATCTGGATTACCATTGACCTGTGACGGGGCCTTTTTAGTGGTGGTTCTCCATTTGTGAAGTCCATTTGCCATCCTGGTGAGGTGTGCCTACCTCCCTCATTGACTCTCAGGAGAAATTTAAAATCGTTCCTCTTTATTTAGACATTTGGTGGCTGAAAGACGTTTTCCATGGCAACTGTGAGATAACTGTTTTTAGAATGTTTTTAACAGTTTCTATAATTTTCTAAACAAAATATTGGCGTGTTTTCCACCTTGGGCTCTTTTGAGAAGGAAGGGCAGGATAGAAATTGAATGAATAAATATAGATAAATGTGGGCACCCATTTTTTATTTTTTTTAAAGACATCCTCAGACTCTCCCCAGAAGGTAAACTGGGGACAGTGATTTACTTTGGACAGGTACCAAAAAACCAGGGTTTGTCTTTCATAAATACGGAAAGTTGGAATGTATATATTTGCTGCATCTGTGTGTTTTTTCCTGTCAAAACTAGAGTTATTAATGATCTAGCTAGCATTGCAGCAGAACCTCTTTATTCTCATGGAAATATAACCTAGGAATATCTGTCTAGCAGCCAAAAACTACTTCCCCTATCCCAGCCTTTTCTACTAAGATACTCAGACAACCTATTGTTATAAAGAAAGAGCTTAAAAGATAGCT